TCCAAATTGCGATATTACCCGCTATTTCCACGACAGTGTTTCCAGATACATTCCCACATGTTATTTCTCTCATGTTTGTTGTACAAATCATCATCAAATAAATTTAGAAGACTATTACCAGAGGGAACCCAGCTGCTGCAACTTGCAGCTGAGTTTTCATCGACTATAATTCTACAAAAGTCGAAAGGGCGCTAATGAAATCGTCAGTAGTCAAATAGATAAAATTGCACGGCATGATAAGTCGTAAATGGCACATTTCCAAATTTCGGAATGCAAACTACAATTTTTTGGTTGTTGTAACGGTTGGTTTAGACTTTTTAGATGCAGAGCGTTAGGAGTAATGTTGGGTTGTAGGCTTGAGGTTAGTTTTAGTAAGGGTATATTCTCCGCTGTTGCAGTCTGCAAATGTGAAAGGCTGGTCCCTTCTCAACCATCTCGCAACGGAGTAAGTCTACCTCTATGTCAAGACACGTGTTTATGGTCTTACCTCCTTCCATGTTCATTCCAGCGATTCCACCGCCCATGCCTCCAAGGCCTCCCATTCCGCCCATGCCACCCATTCCTCCCATCGAGGTCATGCCTCCCATGCCACCCATTCCTCCCATACCGCCCATTCCGGCCATGCTTGGCATTGCGTGCATGCCACCTCCCATGCCTAAAAGAAAGGATATTATTGAGAACCATGTATCAGCAATAGGAAAAAAGCCGCTGTTTCGAGATCTATACAAAACAATGAGACTGATGCAATGGCACGTATCCGTTTTCTACACCTTGCAACACTTACGTTTTAGAACAATCACATTCCAGCAATTGTTATTTCGCTCACACTTCTCGCTCTCTGTGAGTTCAGAAACCACAATTCGTGACACTTTTCGTTTGATTTTGGCGGCAGTTGAGAATGGTTATCAACAAGGACGACTTACCAGTTAGCTGTTTCTCGTCCCATCCCGACTAAGAATCGAGTAACACATACCTCCTTCTCCTCCTTCGATAAACTGCTTAGACATCAGTCCACCTTCCGATGGGCCTCCAGCTCCTCCCATGGGCATCGGCATTGGTCCTCCCTCCATGCCTTGCATTGAAGCCGCTGGTCCAGCCATACCTCCACCTGGCATTTGCATGGGCCCACCCATTAGTGATGGCATACCTTCCATGGTGGCTCCACCACCCTCACCAATCGAGGTGGCCCCTGCGCCAAAGCCCATGCTGAGGTCACCTGTTCCACCCATGCCGCCTCCCATACCGTTCATTCCTGATGAAAATTGGAATCAATATTGAAGAATATTGCCCTAATGTGTTAAGATAAGTGAGATACTTGTGGCAGAAAGTGTCTTGGAGTATTGCCTGAGCTAATCATTGAGTCCACTCTAACTTCTCAGTGCGGAAAACAAAAACCTTCCTCCGACAGAATCCCCGCATCTCTTAACACTACCTTCGACCGCTTTCCTCAGAGAGTGTGGCCAAAAGAGGCCTGATTTATAACTAGAGGAGTCATGTAAAATAAATCTAGTTCGAGTGGGTTGTAGCATTGCATTGTACTCCTCTGAGTAACTAGCTTCTCAAACAACGCTTTCTTTTTCATGACAAGAAAGATGCGTGGTATAAGGTGGAAAGTCGATTCATTGTGTGAGATTCAAGTTGCCTATTTACTGATTTTGATGTGAACGAGACTTGCCGCGATCGTGTAATGTTGAAACGAGAAAAGCAGAACTTTAGCTCTTTGTGGCAATTATGTGACATGCGTGACAATTTGCTGAGCTAGTTCAATCGCTATTTATTAATAGGACGACGACACGGGATGGAGACGAATTCCCCGTTCATTTTTTCTCACCTCCTCCCAAGCTTCCTCCAGCATCCATCAGTCCTGGAACTAAGAAGGAAACAGAACTGTGATAAGAAAACATGTCCGCCTCGTGCGTACCTGTTTTTTTAGGCTAGAAACCGGTGACTCTTAAAACTAAAGGCTAAGAAGTATCATGACGTATTCCTATTTATCTTAGACTATTAGTTCAAGTTAACGATAGAAATTTCCAATATCTGCTGTTTCTACAATCCTGTCAGCTATGTTTGTAAGAACAATCAACTATTCATAATAAAGAGATAATCATTGAAAACGTCTTCTCGATTGTAAACTACACGGTAAGAGGAGTTGTTAGAAAACGTTAATGGCGAGCGAATAAAAGGGACTGCTCTATGGGAAGTCTGCATTGGAAGTACCATGATTTACAACCAATCAGCATAAGTTACACAAGAAAATTCTATACCTTTGAAATGTACTATCTTCTCCTGTTGTTGACAAATATAATTTAACCCTATCAGTTTTCATAAACCCAGTATTTACTACAATGACGGACGTTGAAAACCTCTGAGGATATATCGTTTGCAATTCATTATAAAGGGCCCGGTGCACCCGATGCGATATCAAGTAAGACTTGGGTTTAATGAGGAAAATTATCTTAAAATAAAACTGACCTCTGGAATGTTGCAATACTGCAACTGTATTCAGGCATGCATAAAGCAAATTTAATTTTTAACCTTGTTGGAAATCGTCAGATTTTTTGCTTGAGTTCTCTGTGCTTGACATACCTCGTATGATATTTCCATGGCGGTGGTGCCCTGTTTATATTGGTCAACCACAAGAAAAGAACGAGCTATTACTCAGGTGAAAGAGAGAAGACTACGATGACTGTTCAACAGGAATTGACAAGCACTAATCATCACAAAGACGATGAAACTGTCAGTTTTGAATTGATGAAAGATAGGATGTATGGACGTTTAGTGTGAACTGTGCTGCTTTATGAACATAATGTCTTGTAATCAATATTTCCCAAAGCTCACTTTAAATGAAGGATTCAAAGTTGCCAAAGGACGACAGAATTAAGGAAACTGTGTCGTTTTTGTGATGACCCAACGCTACTCAATACCTGGTATTTTTCAATGCATGGACACAAAACTCATGCACATGCACGAAAAGTACAGTTATGTTCATCCCAAGAAACTTGAAGTGGCTCCTCGACACTTACAATGTCTTCCTTTGTTTAGGTAGCATCCAGTTTTTATTATTTCACAAGGTGGTGTTTTCTAACTGTCACGATTCCAAAGTTGCAATTGAAACTTCAAGTTTACTCGGAATGAACAAATGGCGAGAAGACGCTTTCTTCCACTGAAAGTTGTGTAAGTTCTTAACTTACGAGAGGACTTACCTCCCTGTTTTTTGCTTTCTTTGTGTGTTACATGTTCCTTTTCTTCGTGGAAAAACAAGTAATGAGAAACAAAACAGAGATGAATGAACTTTCCTCTACGAATATTGTCTGGCCATGCAACGAAACCGCACCGTGAAAAGAGTTACCTCACGAAACGTTTACATGCATTTTACAATATAAATCCAGTTAGCTGCGCTCACTTTCAAAGAGTTTAAATTGTTAACGTGTGAGATAGAGGACCACATAAAACATACCAAGAGGAAATAAACTGGACGGGGGTCAATTAATTGAGAATGCAAGTTTTTACGTGCAGTAGCAGATTTGTTCGAAAATCACTTTGTTAAAAGCTTAATTTTGTAATGTTAGAAATTTACAACCCTGATTATGAAGCAAATATGAAATTAAATTATTGTATCAAATTGTCTAATTGGGTTCTGAAAAAGAGTTTAGTTTGAGTTTAAATTGTCAGGTAAAATAATCCTTGAGCTATAGAGCTTTCTTGTCGCGCAACTCTATTTCACAGTTCTTCAATATGAATGTTTTGAAACTAAACTAACTAAATATTACTTACTTGAATGTTTCCTGGCAAAACCTGTACGAAGAAAGCAAGACAGCATGAGATGTTGCACTAAGCAATGTTTGGTGCATCGTACGTCACAATTTCGATTGGTCACAAGGTGCTCAATCATCATGTTTGAACGAGATATCGCCTGGTCTAACATGCCTTGCAACATTGTCGTTGCAGCAAGCATTGTGCGAATTACATTCCAATTCTATTCAACACGTCATACTCTGCTCTAGAAGGAGTTTAACTGAAGCAGAGACTTGGTCAACATTTTGTTGTCAGTCGTCATTTTGTCAGTCGACAAATGACGCGTTTTGTAAATTGATAGCTGAGAATTAAACGGGCTGAATTTCTATAAGATTTCGAAATCGACGAAATTAAGTATTATAACTAAAATTCCAGCATCGTCATCCAGACACTCTGTCAAGGTCTACATCGATTATTCAATCACTAAGCCGTCCTTGCAAATCATCCGAAGCTACACTGACAAAATTCCTATGACCTTTTTTTTAAGGGGGAGAACGACATAGTCTTACTTAAACTTTCCTCGACTTGAAAAGGCCTTTGGAGTAATAAACTATGACCTTTTACCTAAAAGATTAGTAAACTAGACAATGAGTGGCTCAGAAGTGAGATGGTAAAACTGGTATCTTTTCAAGAAAATAATATAGATTGTTTAAACGTCTATAGTGCTCTTCCAGCAATTAACTTACAACAAAAAACACCTGATGGGCTCATCCTGGGACTTCTATTTGCTACTATGTATTAACAACTTTAAATATATGTCACGTGACATATTTACTCTGATGACACAACTCTATCACTATATTCAACTGGGAAACCATTAAGGTTAAATTTGTAAGGTAAGGTGAAAGGTTAAATTTGTAACAGCAACCTGTTTAGTTTAACAATTTCATGATTGCCAACCCAAATAACAACAAACAAATTTGAAGTTAAATCTTACATTAAGAAATATAAAATGATTCGTGTATAGAGAGGTGTTGTACGGATTTGAATGTAGACACCTTAAAGGTCTAGTAACATGATAATAACCCGTCCTTTGAATTCAGCACTGTCCCAGTACAAGTGCAGATCCTTAATCTATGAACAGGACGTTATGTAACTACATGGACGCCGACCGAAAGGAGAAGCGTCATGAGAATCATAGAAAGTCAGCTTGAACTTTAGTTATCAAGCCCAACAGAGGAAGTAGCCAGGGACCACTGTGTAAAAAGCTCAGTTCCACACAAAGTTCCTTAGTTGTTTTCACATACCAGCCATTAATTTACATCATATGACACTTCCCCTTTAACGACACGTATCAAGAGAGCATGAGACTCCTCTCTTGCATGTAGTTACCTTTCATCAAATTATTTCTCTTTCTGACCGGGGCTTTGGGAGGTTCCGGGGGCTTAGGAGGCTTGGGAGCCTTAGGAACATCATATTGGTCCTGAACCGTGGGGACATCCGGTAAATCACTAGCACTAGGCATGCGTGGCATCTCATGCGGGAATACCAAAAGATACGGTACAGTGCGATAAATAAAACCATCTGACCCTAACACGAATGGGAACTCCGGCGTTTTAGGCGTTAATGGCGTTAATGGCGTCTCGGGTGTCCTTGGAGTCTTCGGCGTCCGGGGGGATACCGGGGTACTTGGCGTTTCCGGTGTAAGAGGAGTCACGGGACTCTCCGGCGTCACTGGGGTCTCCGGTGTTTCCTTGGTGACTGGGGTCTCCGGTGTCTCTGGTGTAACGGGTGATACTTCAGTGTCCGGCACCGGCGAGTGAACGTCTCCGGGGAAGGCACGGGTCACATCTGGAATGGTGATTTATCCGATAGTGCTCCATTCTTCCTGTATTACTAAATATAGTTATCTTACCAAAACTCGGCTAACTCTACAATCACTCCAGAACGACCTATGTTGTATTATGCACGTGGAGTTTTCAGTTGGCGATGAAAAATTCAAAGATAGGCCTCAGTTAAAAAGCCAGAGTTATTGTTTTCCTTATCTTCACAAGTATAAAGCCTGGATGTATTCTTGTTCGCCAGATGCAACTAGGCCTTGTATCTTGCTTATTATAAGTTGTTATTTGATTTTTGCTTTAATTATTCGGCCTTGAAAAGAAATAGGAAATTTCACGTAGCCTTATGAGAACACTAGAGAAATTCGGGAGAAACTGAAAGGTTACGTTGCACGAACACTCTCGAATTCTCGTATACTACTTTCTCGAGTGTCAGCGCCAAGCTTCGCAAGCCGCAGGTGACCATCATTTATCCTTTTAAAACAAGATACAATAGATTTCCATAACCATATTTATACCTTTTCCAACCTCTTTCACGAGTACTATCAAAGTTTCACGAGTGTTTCGATAACTCGATAGAAACAAGGATAAGAACAATTACCAGCGAAGCTTATAGTTTTGTTTTTGATACATGAATGGTCTTGCTATAATATGTCTTACTTCTAGATACAGTGTTCTCTCTCAAGCTGATAATTGAAATAAGAAAAAAAAATAGCCTTATTTTTAGTTCGGTGACCACGCTGTTTATGTTGATTGAGTGGCTAAAGTAATTAATGCACCATGAATTCTGTAAAGTACCTACTGTTTAAGTTAATTATAAAACAGCTGAACCATATGAACACCAATTTATTGTAATATGTATCTAATCACTGAAACGTCTCCAAAGTGAGAAGTGGTCAAACTTGGGCAACCAGTTTACTTAAACAAAACTGGACACAACGCTTAAAAGTGACAACACCGTAAATAAGTTTGGAAAGACAACCAGTGTAAAGTGTTAGGTACCAGCAGAATCGTCTTCCATGATTCAATGACAAATACTTTTTACCTTATCATATCCCAACCCCGCTTTAAGCCACAAGCTTAACTGACAGTGCCACACATATAATCATTTCAGATTTAGTCCTTAATGTTTGGTGGTAGATCGAGAAGATATTTCCCAGTAGATAATTTTCAGTATAAGCCTTCTATCATAGTCAAATTTCTGTTTCGAGTGAGTATAACATAGAGTGAACAAAACTAAGCTTGGATACTATGTGAACTGTTATGGAGAGTTGGGTTGTTTGACTCTTTATGTGATAACACATTTGTGATAAAAACGACGTTTCTCTTTAGACGAGTCACCGACAACTTTTAATTGGAATAGTTTTGTCATTCTCTGAAAAGGTGATTTCACCCACAGGTTAAGGTATCTCGTTTGGAATTATTGCTAGATAGGTCAAAGTCAGTTTGAGACAAGTCAAGGTGTTTATAAAACTCCACTGAAAATTCCTCCATTACATTTACAATTCAAGCCCACAATGGTGTCTGCTGATTCCCGTGGAGAAATCACAGCGTGACTGGAGATAAACCGTACAGTCCTAGGCTAGTGTCAACCTATCTTCCTGATTATAATTCAAAAATGGCAAGTACTACGAATTTGATTTGATGAAGTTTTAGTGTCTCCTTCGTTTCAAGGTGTTACCAAAGTTTATAATGTTTGACTACTGAGATCGATTTCTGTGCATCAAATTCACCAATGACAAGGTTTTTATTGTACAAAAAGGGCTCAGTGTCTTCACGATATCTTTTATATTAGCCTCAAATGAAGGAAAATAAAAAGACACCACAATGGTGACTGCGAATAAAGCACCTGCTGTAAAAGCTGTCTGAGTTACTGTGACACATTTGCTTTGCGGAATGTTAGTGAAAGTCCGTGATACAAACAAAAGTCATGTGTTTAGTACAGTATACTGCTATAATCATGGATTTAAATGCTTCGTTTTAAGACCACAACTAATTAAACCAGGAAATCGAAACGACCATCACCTCTTTGGTACCGTAAACATGTCCTTATTTAATCGATTATTCAAACCTGATGAACGTCAAAAATACTGGAAAATATCTCACCTCTAGACGCAAGCGTTAATAGAAGAACAGCACATAAATAAATCCAGTACTTCATGGTGTGTCTGTTGATGTAAACAGCAACTTGCATTAATCCACATGAACGTGAAACCGTCCTGTTGACTCGCCATAACAATAAGCCCTCTGGCGTCATTTCGACTCATCTTTGATCGTTTCCAACCTCATTTGTTTGAAAATAGGGATCATAGATGCCAGACTTGCAGTAAAAATATTCTCTCGGCGTTTGACGAATACAGCATAGGTATTAAATCTTATTCCCTTTAAAAACGTATTTTCAAAACATTTGGAATCTAATAATCTTAAAGACAAAACAAATATTCTAAGCATGTAGACTCGATGTTAAAATTCTATATCATTAAATTAAGAGCATAAGGTTATAGTTTCAAATTCTCTGCGGCCTTACCTTGACTGTGTATCACAAGTTGCGGATTTAAGGCTCGGGGTCTTCTATCTTGCAAGGAAACAGTGATCCACAGGAGCGAGAGATAGCATAAGTAATTCAACACGTGTGTTCATTTATTATTATAGAATAGGTCAACAATGTGCCAAAAACATTAATTACTTAATGGCACGGAATTGCATCAGTTGTGCTGACTTGCCAGAAAAATAACTTCTAAATTCAAGTTTCCAAATGTTTCTAGAAAATGCTCTTTACCTTCTTTTTTTTTCCTTCGCGCTTTTCGTCACTGAATTAGAAAGGTATTCCCTGGACTGGCTCAGAAGCGGATTTCATTTACTTTGTTCGTGGACTAAATTTTTTACACCTTCGCTGGTGGAACTATTATTTAGCACGCATAAATTACAGGTTGGTTTTCTAGTTCACTGAACCCGCACGGTAATGGGAGGAAACTTCAACATGTAGAATCTGCTAGCGACTCGACAACGGGTTCGCCATTGTTTCATGTGTTTTACTTTGTCTTCTTTTTGAGAGAAAACATCATTCAATGCAGGATTTTATTACTTCTTAAACAGTTAAACCCAGCTCTGTGTGAAAAACATAGTTCTCCTCATAATTGTTACGGGGAAGTCATTATGAAATGATTAAGTGGTAATTAATCACGGGTTTTCAACCAAACAAAATTTCACACACTAAGGTGTAATTTTAATTTAAAAATTTCAGGGAATCAATGGAGTTACAAGGTTTTGACCGTTATTTATTCATGTTTCCTATAGAATTGGCTTATAATAGGTTCCAAAGGCGTCATTTCCTGCTCAGATGTATATCGCGTTTTAAATCAAGATCATTGACAGTGTCGGTTAAACCGGGTGATGGAAGATTTTGCAGGTATGCTAAATCAGCAGTGAAATTATATAAGGTTTTAATAAAAAATAATCATCTGATAAATGTTATAGTACTTTTATCCTGTAATATTTAGTAAATCTCTTTTCGTTCCTAGGGTGTTTCAGAAATTTGTTTAAATCATGTTGATCGAAGGGGAATCATCAGATTAAATGATGGCCAGAATTTATTTCAATAGAAGACGTTTTTCAGCCTTAGGAAAGGCTGTATTGTTGAGCACGAAACGTTTGTCAACATTTATGACTCCAAACCGTCTTACACATTCAGTTTAAACAGACCAAATATCTCAATATTAAATATCAAACTCGGACGAATGGAACAACAGATGATGATTCTCACTTGGGTGATTTTAATAAGGAGATTTATTAATTGCATTTTCAATAACATGGAAAGAATAATAGCTGAACTTTGATTGCCGAGATTAATCTTACAAGTGCGTCTTAGAAGCGCAAACTGTCATTTTTTTTTAAAAGGCTGGTCCCTTCTCAACCATCTCGCAACGGAGTAAGTCTACCTCTATGTCAAGACACGTGTTTATGGTCTTACCTCCTTCCATGTTCATTCCAGCGATTCCACCGCCCATGCCTCCAAGGCCTCCCATTCCGCCCATGCCACCCATTCCTCCCATCGAGGTCATGCCTCCCATGCCACCCATTCCTCCCATACCGCCCATTCCGGCCATGCTTGGCATTGCGTGCATGCCACCTCCCATGCCTAAAAGAAAGGATATTATTGAGAACCATGTATCAGCAATAGGAAAAAAGCCGCTGTTTCGAGATCTATACAAAACAATGAGACTGATGCAATGGCACGTATCCGTTTTCTACACCTTGCAACACTTACGTTTTAGAACAATCACATTCCAGCAATTGTTATTTCGCTCACACTTCTCGCTCTCTGTGAGTTCAGAAACCACAATTCGTGACACTTTTCGTTTGATTTTGGCGGCAGTTGAGAATGGTTATCAACAAGGACGACTTACCAGTTAGCTGTTTCTCGTCCCATCCCGACTAAGAATCGAGTAACACATACCTCCTTCTCCTCCTTCGATAAACTGCTTAGACATCAGTCCACCTTCCGATGGGCCTCCAGCTCCTCCCATGGGCATCGGCATTGGTCCTCCCTCCATGCCTTGCATTGAAGCCGCTGGTCCAGCCATACCTCCACCTGGCATTTGCATGGGCCCACCCATTAGTGATGGCATACCTTCCATGGTGGCTCCACCACCCTCACCAATCGAGGTGGCTCCTGCGCCAAAGCCCATGCTGAGGTCACCTGTTCCACCCATGCCGCCTCCCATACCGTTCATTCCTGATGTAAATTGGAATCAATATTGAAGAATATTGCCCTAATGTGTTAAGATAAGTGAGATACTTGTGGCAGAAAGTGTCTTGGAGTATTGCCTGAGCTAATCATTGAGTCCACTCTAACTTCTCAGTGCGGAAAACAAAAACCTTCCTCCGACAGAATCCCCGCATCTCTTAACACTACCTTCGACCGCTTTCCTCAGAGAGTGTGGCCAAAAGAGGCCTGATTTATAACTAGAGGAGTCATGTAAAATAAATCTAGTTCGAGTGGGTTGTAGCATTGCATTGTACTCCTCTGAGTAACTAGCTTCTCAAACAACGCTTTCTTTTTCATGACAAGAAAGATGCGTGGTATAAGGTGGAAAGTCGATTCATTGTGTGAGATTCAAGTTGCCTATTTACTGATTTTGATGTGAACGAGACTTGCCGCGATCGTGTAATGTTGAAACGAGAAAAGCAGAACTTTAGCTCTTTGTGGCAATTATGTGACATGCGTGACAATTTGCTGAGCTAGTTCAATCGCTATTTATTAATAGGACGACGACACGGGATGGAGACGAATTCCCCGTTCATTTTTTCTCACCTCCTCCCAAGCTTCCTCCAGCATCCATCAGTCCTGGAACTAAGAAGGAAACAGAACTGTGATAAGAAAACATGTCCGCCTCGTGCGTACCTGTTTTTTTAGGCTAGAAACCGGTGACTCTTAAAACTAAAGGCTAAGAAGTATCATGACGTATTCCTATTTATCTTAGACTATTAGTTCAAGTTAACGATAGAAATTTCCAATATCTGCTGTTTCTACAATCCTGTCAGCTATGTTTGTAAGAACAATCAACTATTCATAATAAAGAGATAATCATTGAAAACGTCTTCTCGATTGTAAACTACACGGTAAGAGGAGTTGTTAGAAAACGTTAATGGCGAGCGAATAAAAGGGACTGCTCTATGGGAAGTCTGCATTGGAAGTACCATGATTTACAACCAATCAGCATAAGTTACACAAGAAAATTCTATACCTTTGAAATGTACTATCTTCTCCTGTTGTTGACAAATATAATTTAACCCTATCAGTTTTCATAAACCCAGTATTTACTACAATGACGGACGTTGAAAACCTCTGAGGATATATCGTTTGCAATTCATTATAAAGGGCCCGGTGCACCCGATGCGATATCAAGTAAGACTTGGGTTTAATGAGGAAAATTATCTTAAAATAAAACTGACCTCTGGAATGTTGCAATACTGCAACTGTATTCAGGCATGCATAAAGCAAATTTAATTTTTAACCTTGTTGGAAATCGTCAGATTTTTTGCTTGAGTTCTCTGTGCTTGACATACCTCGTATGATATTTCCATGGCGGTGGTGCCCTGTTTATATTGGTCAACCACAAGAAAAGAACGAGCTATTACTCAGGTGAAAGAGAGAAGACTACGATGACTGTTCAACAGGAATTGACAAGCACTAATCATCACAAAGACGATGAAACTGTCAGTTTTGAATTGATGAAAGATAGGATGTATGGACGTTTAGTGTGAACTGTGCTGCTTTATGAACATAATGTCTTGTAATCAATATTTCCCAAAGCTCACTTTAAATGAAGGATTCAAAGTTGCCAAAGGACGACAGAATTAAGGAAACTGTGTCGTTTTTGTGATGACCCAACGCTACTCAATACCTGGTATTTTTCAATGCATGGACACAAAACTCATGCACATGCACGAAAAGTACAGTTATGTTCATCCCAAGAAACTTGAAGTGGCTCCTCGACACTTACAATGTCTTCCTTTGTTTAGGTAGCATCCAGTTTTTATTATTTCACAAGGTGGTGTTTTCTAACTGTCACGATTCCAAAGTTGCAATTGAAACTTCAAGTTTACTCGGAATGAACAAATGGCGAGAAGACGCTTTCTTCCACTGAAAGTTGTGTAAGTTCTTAACTTACGAGAGGACTTACCTCCCTGTTTTTTGCTTTCTTTGTGTGTTACATGTTCCTTTTCTTCGTGGAAAAACAAGTAATGAGAAACAAAACAGAGATGAATGAACTTTCCTCTACGAATATTGTCTGGCCATGCAACGAAACCGCACCGTGAAAAGAGTTACCTCACGAAACGTTTACATGCATTTTACAATATAAATCCAGTTAGCTGCGCTCACTTTCAAAGAGTTTAAATTGTTAACGTGTGAGATAGAGGACCACATAAAACATACCAAGAGGAAATAAACTGGACGGGGGTCAATTAATTGAGAATGCAAGTTTTTACGTGCAGTAGCAGATTTGTTCGAAAATCACTTTGTTAAAAGCTTAATTTTGTAATGTTAGAAATTTACAACCCTGATTATGAAGCAAATATGAAATTAAATTATTGTATCAAATTGTCTAATTGGGTTCTGAAAAAGAGTTTAGTTTGAGTTTAAATTGTCAGGTAAAATAATCCTTGAGCTATAGAGCTTTCTTGTCGCGCAACTCTATTTCACAGTTCTTCAATATGAATGTTTTGAAACTAAACTAACTAAATATTACTTACTTGAATGTTTCCTGGCAAAACCTGTACGAAGAAAGCAAGACAGCATGAGATGTTGCACTAAGCAATGTTTGGTGCATCGTACGTCACAATTTCGATTGGTCACAAGGTGCTCAATCATCATGTTTGAACGAGATATCGCCTGGTCTAACATGCCTTGCAACATTGTCGTTGCAGCAAGCATTGTGCGAATTACATTCCAATTCTATTCAACACGTCATACTCTGCTCTAGAAGGAGTTTAACTGAAGCAGAGACTTGGTCAACATTTTGTTGTCAGTCGTCATTTTGTCAGTCGACAAATGACGCGTTTTGTAAATTGATAGCTGAGAATTAAACGGGCTGAATTTCTATAAGATTTCGAAATCGACGAAATTAAGTATTATAACTAAAATTCCAGCATCGTCATCCAGACACTCTGTCAAGGTCTACATCGATTATTCAATCACTAAGCCGTCCTTGCAAATCATCCGAAGCTACACTGACAAAATTCCTATGACCTTTTTTTTAAGGGGGAGAACGACATAGTCTTACTTAAACTTTCCTCGACTTGAAAAGGCCTTTGGAGTAATAAACTATGACCTTTTACCTAAAAGATTAGTAAACTAGACAATGAGTGGCTCAGAAGTGAGATGGTAAAACTGGTATCTTTTCAAGAAAATAATATAGATTGTTTAAACGTCTATAGTGCTCTTCCAGCAATTAACTTACAACAAAAAACACCTGATGGGCTCATCCTGGGACTTCTATTTGCTACTATGTATTAACAACTTTAAATATATGTCACGTGACATATTTACTCTGATGACACAACTCTATCACTATATTCAACTGGGAAACCATTAAGGTTAAATTTGTAAGGTAAGGTGAAAGGTTAAATTTGTAACAGCAACCTGTTTAGTTTAACAATTTCATGATTGCCAACCCAAATAACAACAAACAAATTTGAAGTTAAATCTTACATTAAGAAATATAAAATGATTCGTGTATAGAGAGGTGTTGTACGGATTTGAATGTAGACACCTTAAAGGTCTAGTAACATGATAATAACCCGTCCTTTGAATTCAGCACTGTCCCAGTACAAGTGCAGATCCTTAATCTATGAACAGGACGTTATGTAACTACATGGACGCCGACCGAAAGGAGAAGCGTCATGAGAATCATAGAAAGTCAGCTTGAACTTTAGTTATCAAGCCCAACAGAGGAAGTAGCCAGGGACCACTGTGTAAAAAGCTCAGTTCCACACAAAGTTCCTTAGTTGTTTTCACATACCAGCCATTAATTTACATCATATGACACTTCCCCTTTAACGACACGTATCAAGAGAGCATGAGACTCCTCTCTTGCATGTAGTTACCTTTCATCAAATTATTTCTCTTTCTGACCGGGGCTTTGGGAGGTTCCGGGGGCTTAGGAGGCTTGGGAGCCTTAGGAACATCATATTGGTCCTGAACCGTGGGGACATCCGGTAAATCACTAGCACTAGGCATGCGTGGCATCTCATGCGGGAATACCAAAAGATACGGTACAGTGCGATAAATAAAACCATCTGACCCTAACACGAATGGGAACTCCGGCGTTTTAGGCGTTAATGGCGTTAATGGCGTCTCGGGTGTCCTTGGAGTCTTCGGCGTCCGGGGGGATACCGGGGTACTTGGCGTTTCCGGTGTAAGAGGAGTCACGGGACTCTCCGGCGTCACTGGGGTCTCCGGTGTTTCCTTGGTGACTGGGGTCTCCGGTGTCTCTGGTGTAACGGGTGATACTTCAGTGTCCGGCACCGGCGAGTGAACGTCTCCGGGGAAGGCACGGGTCACATCTGGAATGGTGATTTATCCGATAGTGCTCCATTCTTCCTGTATTACTAAATATAGTTATCTTACCAAAACTCGGCTAACTCTACAATCACTCCAGAACGACCTATGTTGTATTATGCACGTGGAGTTTTCAGTTGGCGATGAAAAATTCAAAGATAGGCCTCAGTTAAAAAGCCAGAGTTATTGTTTTCCTTATCTTCACAAGTATAAAGCCTGGATGTATTCTTGTTCGCCAGATGCAACTAGGCCTTGTATCTTGCTTATTATAAGTTGTTATTTGATTTTTGCTTTAATTATTCGGCCTTGAAAAGAAATAGGAAATTTCACGTAGCCTTATGAGAACACTAGAGAAATTCGGGAGAAACTGAAAGGTTACGTTGCACGAACACTCTCGAATTCTCGTATACTACTTTCTCGAGTGTCAGCGCCAAGCTTCGCAAGCCGCAGGTGACCATCATTTATCCTTTTAAAACAAGATACAATAGATTTCCATAACCATATTTATACCTTTTCCAACCTCTTTCACGAGTACTATCAAAGTTTCACGAGTGTTTCGATAACTCGATAGAAACAAGGATAAGAACAATTACCAGCGAAGCTTATAGTTTTGTTTTTGATACATGAATGGTCTTGCTATAATATGTCTTACTTCTAGATACAGTGTTCTCTCTCAAGCTGATAATTGAAATAAGAAAAAAAAATAGCCTTATTTTTAGTTCGGTGACCACGCTGTTTATGTTGATTGAGTGGCTAAAGTAATTAATGCACCATGAATTCTGTAAAGTACCTACTGTTTAAGTTAATTATAAAACAGCTGAACCATATGAACACCAATTTATTGTAATATGTATCTAATCACTGAAACGTCTCCAAAGTGAGAAGTGGTCAAACTTGGGCAACCAGTTTACTTAAACAAAACTGGACACAACGCTTAAAAGTGACAACACCGTAAATAAGTTTGGAAAGACAACCAGTGTAAAGTGTTAGGTACCAGCAGAATCGTCTTCCATGATTCAATGACAAATACTTTTTACCTTATCATATCCCAACCCCGCTTTAAGCCACAAGCTTAACTGACAGTGCCACACATATAATCATTTCAGATTTAGTCCTTAATGTTTGGTGGTAGATCGAGAAGATATTTCCCAGTAGATAATTTTCAGTATAAGCCTTCTATCATAGTCAAATTTCTGTTTCGAGTGAGTATAACATAGAGTGAACAAAACTAAGCTTGGATACTATGTGAACTGTTATGGAGAGTTGGGTTGTTTGACTCTTTATGTGATAACACATTTGTGATAAAAACGACGTTTCTCTTTAGACGAGTCACCGACAACTTTTAATTGGAATAGTTTTGTCATTCTCTGAAAAGGTGATTTCACCCACAGGTTAAGGTATCTCGTTTGGAATTATTGCTAGATAGGTCAAAGTCAGTTTGAGACAAGTCAAGGTGTTTATAAAACTCCACTGAAAATTCCTCCATTACATTTACAATTCAAGCCCACAATGGTGTCTGCTGATTCCCGTGGAGAAATCACAGCGTGACTGGAGATAAACCGTACAGTCCTAGGCTAGTGTCAACCTATCTTCCTGATTATAATTCAAAAATGGCAAGTACTACGAATTTGATTTGATGAAGTTTTAGTGTCTCCTTCGTTTCAAGGTGTTACCAAAGTTTATAATGTTTGACTACTGAGATCGATTTCTGTGCATCAAATTCACCAATGACAAGGTTTTTATTGTACAAAAAGGGCTCAGTGTCTTCACGATATCTTTTATATTAGCCTCAAATGAAGGAAAATAAAAAGACACCACAATGGTGACTGCGAATAAAGCACCTGCTGTAAAAGCTGTCTGAGTTACTGTGACACATTTGCTTTGCGGAATGTTAGTGAAAGTCCGTGATACAAACAAAAGTCATGTGTTTAGTACAGTATACTGCTATAATCATGGATTTAAATGCTTCGTTTTAAGACCACAACTAATTAAACCAGGAAATCGAAACGACCATCACCTCTTTGGTACCGTAAACATGTCCTTATTTAATCGATTATTCAAACCTGATGAACGTCAAAAATACTGGAAAATATCTCACCTCTAGACGCAAGCGTTAATAGAAGAACAGCACATAAATAAATCCAGTACTTCATGGTGTGTCTGTTGATGTAAACAGCAACTTGCATTAATCCACATGAACGTGAAACCGTCCTGTTGACTCGCCATAACAATAAGCCCTCTGGCGTCATTTCGACTCATCTTTGATCGTTTCCAACCTCATTTGTTTGAAAATAGGGATCATAGATGCCAGACTTGCAGTAAAAATATTCTCTCGGCGTTTGACGAATACAGCATAGGTATTAAATCTTATTCCCTTTAAAAACGTATTTTCAAAACATTTGGAATCTAATAATCTTAAAGACAAAACAAATATTCTAAGCATGTAGACTCGATGTTAAAATTCTATATCATTAAATTAAGAGCATAAGGTTATAGTTTCAAATTCTCTGCGGCCTTACCTTGACTGTGTATCACAAGTTGCGGATTTAAGGCTCGGGGTCTTCTATCTTGCAAGGAAACAGTGATCCACAGGAGCGAGAGATAGCATAAGTAATTCAACACGTGTGTTCATTTATTATTATAGAATAGGTCAACAATGTGCCAAAAACATTAATTACTTAATGGCACGGAATTGCATCAGTTGTGCTGACTTGCCAGAAAAATAACTTCTAAATTCAAGTTTCCAAATGTTTCTAGAAAATGCTCTTTACCTTCTTTTTTTTTCCTTCGCGCTTTTCGTCACTGAATTAGAAAGGTATTCCCTGGACTGGCTCAGAAGCGGATTTCATTTACTTTGTTCGTGGACTAAATTTTTTACACCTTCGCTGGTGGAACTATTATTTAGCACGCATAAATTACAGGTTGGTTTTCTAGTTCACTGAACCCGCACGGTAATGGGAGGAAACTTCAACATGTAGAATCTGCTAGCGACTCGACAACGGGTTCGCCATTGTTTCATGTGTTTTACTTTGTCTTCTTTTTGAGAGAAAACATCATTCAATGCAGGATTTTATTACTTCTTAAACAGTTAAACCCAGCTCTGTGTGAAAAACATAGTTCTCCTCATAATTGTTACGGGGAAGTCATTATGAAATGATTAAGTGGTAATTAATCACGGGTTTTCAACCAAACAAAATTTCACACACTAAGGTGTAATTTTAATTTAAAAATTTCAGGGAATCAATGGAGTTACAAGGTTTTGACCGTTATTTATTCATGTTTCCTATAGAATTGGCTTATAATAGGTTCCAAAGGCGTCATTTCCTGCTCAGATGTATATCGCGTTTTAAATCAAGATCATTGACAGTGTCGGTTAAACCGGGTGATGGAAGATTTTGCAGGTATGCTAAATCAGCAGTGAAATTATATAAGGTTTTAATAAAAAATAATCATCTGATAAATGTTATAGTACTTTTATCCTGTAATATTTAGTAAATCTCTTTTCGTTCCTAGGGTGTTTCAGAAATTTGTTTAAATCATGTTGATCGAAGGGGAATCATCAGATTAAATGATGGCCAGAATTTATTTCAATAGAAGACGTTTTTCAGCCTTAGGAAAGGCTGTATTGTTGAGCACGAAACGTTTGTCAACATTTATGACTCCAAACCGTCTTACACATTCAGTTTAAACAGACCAAATATCTCAATATTAAATATCAAACTCGGACGAATGGAACAACAGATGATGATTCTCACTTGGGTGATTTTAATAAGGAGATTTATTAATTGCATTTTCAATAACATGGAAAGAATAATAGCTGAACTTTGATTGCCGAGATTAATCTTACAAGTGCGTCTTAGAAGCGCAAACTGTCATTTTTTTTTGTTAAGCTGGACTGGTACACGGACAGGCCGTTTACCTTGAGATAAAATTAAGTTTTGAATTCTAAAGAACAAATTAAACAGTCATACTAAAGTCAAAGTTTGGTTTTCAGTATTTTATTAATGTCAATGATTACAATTTCCATCTACAAAACATAAATATCGAGCTATAATAATTTACACCATTAAATGAGATAAATATAAAAATAATACAAAATATGATATAGTACAAGTGGCGTTTTTCCTCTCAATCAACCTCCCTAATAATACAAAGACTAATAAACTCAGCGGGCGGTCAATGAAATTTTTACTTTTCTGCAATACAAAAGTGATTTTAATATTTTTTGCATTTAAAAACGTAGATTGGTCATTCTTATCATCATTGCTTAAAGTGAAATGGATGTCCCCTGGAAAAGTTCATCATTTAGGAACAAGGAACATTTTTATTGTAATCTAAATCCATCTAAATCTCCCTCTTCATAAATCGAGTAGAGAAGACTTCCGAGTCATGTAACGTGGCTTATTTTTAAGTATGGGTATGATTTTTTTTTATATAATGTTTTATTATGTTTTATAGTGCAATGATTGAATTGGAAGCTATGTAGCATTATTTTAATGTGGTGCTGTTTGTTTCTACTTTGTTTTACAAGTAAGTCATTTATCTAACCGTAAGCGTTAAGAGGGCGAAAGAGGTAAGATGCACGTACCACCTTTGAAAATATTCAACCCAGAAAAGTTCTTGACATGAAAGTATGACTTCTGGTCATCAAGGCATGGTTATTTCATGAAACGCCACAACGTGCTACAACGTTAACACAATTTCTCTTGCAAGGGGATCGGAATCAAGATCCCCAGGATTGTACTAGCGAAGCAATGATGAATAAGTCACATCCTAAGAGAACTAAATAAAAATTAGGGTACAGAAATACTGTGGATAAATATTATCAAAGAAACAATTTGACCAAAACATGTTATGAAGTCAATGCAATTGTACAAGGATCACTGAATGGGCCTGCTCGTTCTTGGTCATCTACCGCTCTAACGGCAAAATGATACTTATTCCCAGTAGAGAACTGTGACAGCGTACACGCCATAGGAAGTGGCAGCGCTTTCACAATACCTATTTTTTTCCACATAATTGGTGGAGTTGTACTTTCTGCGCCATCTTGACAAGCAAACAATTCATAATTATCAATTTTTGCCATTGTCTCGTCTAGTGTCATGTTCCATGAGAGAACAATACCGTCCTGAACCACCACAATGGATGCTGAGGGTTTTGGAGGCGTCCTTAACTGCACCCCAGGATGGTCCTTTCTTGCACCATTCATATCCGAATGGTTCGCAGTACCACGCGTATCTTGTGCAGCACTAGGCTCAGGACGAAATCCTGATGGGGACGCTGTGGAAGAGATACCAGGAGATTGAACTGGCGGACAAGGTTGATTTCTTATGATACCTGGAGGCGCCGGAGCAATATGTTGAAATTGTGTAGTTCTGTGAGATGAAGGAGCATGTGTAATCTGGATTGGACCTCTTTGGTGTTGCGGATGTTGGTGCTGCTGCTGCTGCTGTTGTTGTTGTGGTTGGTGTTGCTGTTGTTGTGGTTGCGGTTGGTGGTGCTGCTGTTGCTGTCGTTGTTTTTGTTGTTGTTGTTGCTGTTGTTGTTGCTGTTGTGACACCTGATACTCTCTGACAACGTATACTGTGCCATTAGGTTCCACAGGCTGACCATTGGCAGGCGCTGGTTGCACGTGCTGGTGAGGGTGAGATGACATGACTCTTGGGCCATATTCAGTGCTTGATTGTCGTTGTCTAGTTGAAGGATAAAACATCCTCTCAACTAACTGACCGTGAGGATGTCCTAGTGGGTGGCTCGGAGCATTAGCTACTCCGTGGAGTGACTGAGGTTCAGAATAAACAACGGGCTGGGTGTTTGCAGAGCCTTGATGCAAATTTGTCCGTGGTATTGGATGGAATGACTTTGGTGTTGGCTGGACAACGGGTTGACAGTTTGAAGGAGTTTGAGTAAAATGAGGTACCGGTGACTGGTTGGATAGACTTCGGGTTGGATTGTAAACGGGTTGAAGGTTTGAAGAACCTTGATGCAAATGAGGCTGGGGTATCTGGTTGGGTGGAATGTGGGTTGGATTTACAGCAGCATGAACATTTGAAGAACCTTGATTAAGATGAGGCTCAGGCATCTGATTGAGCGAAATGTGGGTTGGATTGGCAGTAGCCTGAAGGTTTGAAGAACCTTGATTCAACTGTGGCCCCGGTTGCTGGTTTGATGGGCTCACCATGTACACTGCTTGGTTTCCTCTTGACGGTCCAGAGGCTGGTGCAGATGCTTTAAGACGTTTCCGTAGGCTGTCTATAGCACTGGGTTTCTTTTGTATCTTAAAGTTATGCATAATGTAATTGCTGTTACTGGACACCACATGAAGACCATCCGAACCCGATCGTGTATCAACCCTTTTACGTTTGTTTGGTGGTAAAAGTGACACATTGGGAGGACCACGTCTTACCAAAACATAGGAATGTGAAGAAACAGCGTCAGCTTGGGTAGGTTGTGTGATTTGTTCCTGATTACTGGATTCTTGTGGTTGCGAGGATATCCACTGCGACTGTGGTGAAGTTTGTCCTTGAGCATGACCTGCTATGTTTTGATCAGAAGCTGATAGCTCTTGTGTCTGTTGACTTGTGAGTCTGATAGATGGTCGCTTGAGCGTTTGAGGGTTTGGAGACATCTCACGCCTTGCTGGGGGTTGAGTCATCTGCCCTTGCAATTGGCGTGGTGCTTCAATGCGAACCTCAGGTGAATGCCTGTGGGCTGATTCGCTCTCGCGCATGAGTAGTTCTTGCACTTCTGACGTTTTTCGTTGTCCTTGAGAAGGTGAAGAAGCTGATGGTCCTCTGCCATCTTGCTCCAATGACCTTCTGGTATCGTACGAAGTAGCGGCTGAGCTCTGTCTTGTTATGACCTCTTTGTGGTCCTTGCGATGCGGTCTTGATTCCGAAGCTATTTGTCTCGGTTCGTTACACTTAATTTGCCCAATTGTTTTCAAATTCTCATTGCTCGTTTCGAGCTGGTTAGAAGAGATGGTCTTCTTGGGCATAGACACGTACGTCAACTGTTTAGCAATCTCAGGAGACCCTGGCCGTTCTTGTACCTAAAGAATATGAAAATAATAAAAGTAAAAAGTCTCATTAGTTACCACTTCTTACAAAGGTCTGGAAAACATAACGATAGAGATCAACATACCCAAATGCATTCAGTGAGAAATTGCAAATGTTTTGCAATAATTTGTGAACAAGAAAAAACACAGGAAGCACAATGAAATGGAGAATATTACCAAATCCTCAATACAAAACAAAGAAAGATAGCGATAAAGATTATACCACATCAATATCAACTTGGGTTCCACAGGAAATCATCTGAGCCTTTTCCTATTGAGAAAAAAACGTATTTGTAAACAATTAACATTGCATGTAGATAAACGTCATCAATCATAGAAACGATTATTCATGTTCAGTGAAGACAATCAAGGTTAAAGTATTATTTTCACTACAACGCGACGCAAACGACAAGCATTGCTGATTTTTTTAGAATATGTAATAAAGTTGACTGTCACTGGTGGCACACCTTTTCATGTTCTGAAGAGATTTCCTGCAAAGCTAGTTGAAGTCGTTTCGCGTCCCATTGCAACGTCTTCTTTTCCTCTTCCAAAGCAAGGACCTGTTTTTCCAAAGCTTTTACATCTTCCATTAACCTCTTTTCCATTTCAAAGGTTCGCTTAACGATCACTTCTTTGAGCATCTATACAAAAAAAATATAACACCTTTGAATGTTTATGATTCCAGGTTCACAGTCTGAAAGTAATCCCAAACGCAAACAGTTGCATGTATTATTTCAGTATGAGGTGTCAATGAGACAAAGCACTTCATTTCAGCATTCGTAAGACCAAACCTGACGAAAGACGTCAATATCCATCCTTATTTCTCTCTCTTTCATTGTTTCGCTCTTTCTTACTGTTGTCACATTGTTTTCAGTTTCATTTTGTGTTGACAGCACTCTCGATGCTCCATTCGTATCTACAACGACGTTCAAACGAAAGTCATTTTAGTAACACATAGGTTAGAATTACGGGTTTTAAGGGTTTTGAACTGTTCATGCGCCATGCCAATTAATCCTGAAGCAAGGCGTAAACACTAACGAAAGAATTCAAGAATAATCAGCTGGATCTAGGTTAAACCGTAAATACACTTAACTGAAGTGTATCTTCCCTGACGTTGTCGGGCGCTTAATTCATATCGAAATGAAAGTGGCACGGTACTCCGAGGTTAAATTAAAATGCGAGTCCTCAACACTCTGGAAAGGTCCGTCATCGTTTGATTGTTTTTCTTACTCCATGTTTGAACGTTTCTCTCGGTTTGAATAAACTTTGAGGTAAAGGTTAAGTCTGCGCACGAGCCTAGTGGCCAATCACGACGGAGCTTATCCCGGTTTCTTTAGCATGAAGCGACTAGGAGTATTTCTACTGTCCCCTGGGTGGAATGCTAGTCCATCGCAGGGTTACCCTCAGCACTAAGTTCGCCGGTACCCATTTATACACCTGGGTGGAAAGAGGCACTTTGGGGAGTGCATAAAACATCTTAAGATGATCTGCACATGAAAACTGATTGGAGCGGTTTTCACTTGACTGTCGAAAACAAATACGTATTCTAAATACAGTAAAACCAAAACAAACCATGATACACTCCCACACGTTTTCCCGAGCTTCACGTTGGTTTCATGTATTTGCTTGGAGTTTTGATTCGTTCAATGGAGTGTCTGGGTCCCTCGTAATTGGCCAGAGTGATTTCTTTGGTTTTGGTTTTACGACACTCCATAGGTGATTTGCACGATGGCGTCATTTGACTACAACTACCAGAATCCTTCTCTTTTTCTGTTTCTTATGTTAATTAGGGCAATTGTTATATAAACCCCACTGGGGCCTCAAAATTTAAATAATAAAGAAAATATGAAATGAATTCTGGTAGTTGTAGTCAATAGGCTACTTTCGATATATTAAAATTCAGCTTGATAGTGATGTCTAGAGAACGCATATAAAAGAAATGAACAAACAGGCTCATTCAATTTCTTTTGTTTGTGTCCTTTAGGCCTCGCTCTCAAGCTGAATTTTAATATTTCGAAAGTAGCCTATTGACGCTATCGTGTAAATCTGCTATTGAAAACCACTTTAATATGCAAAGCACCAGCTTTGAAATTTCGACGCTAATAGTACAGCTAAGTGGGTGCTGCCTTTACGTATTTTCAAATTATTACATTTTATGTTATGTGTTACCTGTCGAGCTTCCGCTGCCAGAATTCGCTTCGTTTTCCTTACTCGGCTTTGTGCTTCTTTCTAATTTTTCTGTGTTTGTCTCCCCGTTCTTTTCAGACCCGCCCTTTCTTTGAGCAACGTTTCTCTTAGCAACAGAAGACGCAAGTCGCCTTAAACGGCTTAGAACTTCCGGAGTGACGTTCATTTTGCCCCACAATTCTCTTCCAGTATGATCAGTATATCCTTTAACAGGCGTGAATTTGCATCATCTGCAACAGTTAAGAACAAATTAAAGCGAGAAAATTCAAATTTGTGCCACTGCAATCAAAATGTACCGACACTGTTTTCCTATCTGGTGTTTGCTTTAACGGTGAAATCGATTTGTTTGTTTCTGTTTTTATTCATTTTTCCGATACTCTTATTTAACACTTTTTTCCTTTTCATTGCATTAATACAGTTTATTACATCACCCACACTACATACATGCGCTACATCCATGCACTATACCAACTTATTGATAGTGAAGTCTAGAGAACCTTACATTGTTTATTTGCACACGCTTTTAAGCCTACTATTTCCTAATTTATTTTATTAATGAATTGAAGAAGTTCACATACACACTCTACATCATCACAAGACGAGTTTCACAAACGGTAGGCTATCTTGCTTTGTTTTCTTACATTTTAATGCTTACTATTTCCTAATTTATTTAACTATTAATGAAGTAGCACACGTACGCACTCTCTAAAGAAACATTTGCAGACGACAGGTGGAACGAAAAAGATAGTAGGTTATCTGTTTACTCGAAACCAAACATTGTAGAAAAGTAGTGGTTATGTTTATTTACTCTCCAGAACTGTAAGCCAGTTATCAGAAGTTCAGTTTAAATTTCAGAGAGCCTCGGCTCGAAGGCGCAACAAAATAATTCAAATCGTTAGATTCCTTGTCGGCCTTACTCAGCCGACCGTGTAATGTTAGCCTGTTTGTGAACCGGTTTTTCAACGACAAAAACACTCCCGAAACAGATTATAACTACACGTAAAATTCTGGTAATTTAAATACGCAAAATTGCTATTCTTGTTCTCAAAAAGGTGAACTTTTTATACCCAATTTAAAAATTTTGAGGTAGGCCATAATGACATTTCTTTTCCCTAATAAGTGTGTTTGTTGGGTTTGCTCCGAACAAATATGGCGCCAGAAGCCATAAAGTCTGTAGCCTAGGTGATATGACCAATTTGACGATATTTGGTTCAACAGGCAATGAGGGGCAATCCACTTGGTAGTCTATTTAGATTGTCATTTGCTACAAGTTACCTTTGGCTTGATAAAACTGCCTTCATTTGCATTTATTATCATGCAGTGAACTGTAAAAATGAGTCTTTTGTTAGTAACAAAAATTGATAACATTCAATGTTACATGAAATGGTTAACATACTTTTCATTTCAGCTGAAGACCGTGACTCGTACGGCAGGGCCAGCGTATCGACAGAGAATTTTGCAACTGAGCTGTAATCTACTACAACTGCCACGTATGAGTTGACGAAAACAGGAACCAAACGTCACAATCAAAACAAAGGATTTGAATTGAATTGGCAAATTGATAACCATAGCTACTGTCAGTGGTTTATGCCCTAAAACATGGACAGCTGAATCGCACCTGTCTTAAACGAAAATAAACTCAAGAACCCAATATATGAAATATAAAGGAAATGCTGTATAAGGAAGAAATTTAAGTATCTTACACTTGTCTAGCGCTTGGCGCCAGCTTCCTGTAAGATATTGCACTCTATTCGTGTTTACGTAAAAAAGGTTCCCATTATATTTGCATAACTCTTTCCATTGCCGCGCGTTTGAGAGACTAGACGAGCCAGTATGGAACAACTTGGGCAACTGATGTTTAGATCTGTGGTTATGAGAACCTAAATTTTTATTGAAAAACGTTAACAACGAGAGTTCTGAGCGACATACGCATGTCTGTTCTCACAGTGGGCCGTGTACCCGTCTGAATGCTCACCAACTCAGGAACGCATAATCACTGACACACGCCAAACATAAGAAAACATTTACTGCTCAGGGTCGCTCAGGCAAAACAGCGGTCTCTGGAACGAAATGCTGTCCATTTTACCCATAGCGTGCAATGTCACTGACACTAACGATGTGAATACACGACATGCGTAGTTTATTGACATCTTTTATGTTTCTGCTCGCTTTGTAAAACTTTACAGCCTCATCAAAAAGAGGTACATCTTCCTAAAGCTTCCTTGGTCTCACAGGCTCTAACTGTTTTTTTTATAAGTTGCTGTTCATAAGTAGCTAAAAGAAATTCCTTCTCAGCAAGTTCATTAGTCGATACGAATATACAACTAGTCACTGGACTGTGACCAACATTGACATACGGGCAAATTCATGCATCTTAAAATCAGTTTATGAAGAACACACAGATTTTAGGAAAACCTGTATCCCAAAACGACACTCACCTTTGTTAGATTACTTTCAATACTAACGCTCTGACTCTTAAGTATAGGTTAAAATAACGAGGAAAACGCAGCTGGCTGTTACTTGACAATAAGTCGGTAACACAGTCTGTATGGTAATTTCGGTTGATATGTTAATTTATTCAACTTTTTCATGCATTGTGTTGATAAGCTTTGGTTTTGTAACCGCACGGCACAATATCAACTACTTACTTTGTTGCAAAATGCTTCCTTTTGTTCTGCGTCACCATTAGTTTTCATTTATAAATCGCACAATTCAGTATAGTGGATGGTGCACACAATACGTTTTCCCCGGGCTTCCTAAATTTGCGATTTTTTTTACCCAAACAACAAAGTTAATCAGTTGTTAAAGATTTAATAGCGAAAACACTGTCGTTGCAAGGTCATTGAGACTAAAAAGGACTGACTGCCTATACATATCTAGGACAAATAAAAGAGCAGCAAAATTGTTGAAGATTTCCAACATATGCCACGATGAACAAGCAATATGCAAAGGAAGACAGCCAAAATGCCTTGGCAAGTAAAAAGCTATCCCCTGAGCAAGCACGATTTAGGAATATAAAGTACAGACAAGTGAAAGAAAGGTCGGTTGTTAACGTAAATAGGCACCCACATTTAAAGTTCATTTTACTTAAGGTTGATGGCACTTTGACGACGTAATCACGTACATACAATTCGAATTCATCTCGTTGACGAAACAACATAAAATATCTGCGCTGATTAATGTTGCGTTCAGAGGATCATGTAACAGAAAAAAAACCCATTGAGCCCAATATAGTTCTGCCGTCAACCAATGGAAACCAACCACGCGTTAAAGTATTTGCAGATAAACGACCAGCACCAATTAAGCACCACGCGAATTCCCTAACAATTTACATGACAATGGTATCTGCTAAAGATAACAAACTTACTTATTTGTGGCGCCGCGGTGGCGTCTGTCAAGAATGTCGTTCTCTTAGGAGTTCTGGATGCCATCATCAACAATGCAAAAAAAATTGACATATCAAAGAACATTATCGTTGTCATTACTAAAAATGGAACAAAACAAAGACTGAAAAAATGTCAACAGCTGTCGCTTCGAATAAAAGCAAGGCGCACCCTATCGAATTTCATCTTTGATTTACATTCAAACCTTGCAAAAACACTGTTGTAAAAAGACAGCCCAGTCGAAAGAATCGAGCTGTAATACATTAGCAAACAAGCGCTCAACAAATGTGGTAAAAACGATAGTCTTCTCTTAGAAAGACCAAAAATTAACATCATGTTTATTTTTTATGTAAAGCAACATCAATTATGGCACCCGAGGCGGTAGACCGAGTGTCTTGTCGTATAATTAAAGACAGCTTTAATAATAATTGTTTTCTCCGTTTGACCAAGTGAACGAGATGTCTGGATGATTCCAGATCGACTGTCTCCTCAAACTAGGCGTCTTTAGGCTGAAGTAGAGGTCATAGTCTCCTTGAGGCCAACTGTCAGTAGCAAGACACAGTCTTCGAGTAAACATAAAGACATAAGGAGAGGTTCCACTCCACAATGAATATTTCCCCACTTACCCCATGATGGAACACACATTCTTAGCCAAACTTACCAGTATTACGAGAAAATTCATCAAGTAAGTAGACTCCCCGATTAACTCTAGATCATTCTTCCTGAACAGTGTCCGACACGTACGTCCGTATTTAAAATGAGAATCTTTGTAATTATTAAATCTTACGGGAGCCGTGACACCGTGACTGTGGTACGCAATCATTGGGAAGTTATTGATTTGCTAAACCGATTCCTTTTGAAAAGCTCAGAATAATTCATAAATGGTCCGCCACCGCACCTACTATTATTAAAATTGTGGGCAATGTCAATTTTATCCAGTAACTATTATAAATTCATATTCACTATTCTCGTTTTCATTACATATATACTGTAAAATCCAAACGAACAGTTCGCTCTGAAGAGCAGATATCAAAATTGACACCAGTTCAGACATTATTAGTTTCGCCTGCATGTATATATTTCGTACATACATAATGTATATCGTGAATACATCAGCCAAATTTAGCTCTACTTTAGCTGTTACTTCAACAACTCTCAATACAACTGAACCCTCTTGCTACAAACCTTTCCGTGTGATATCGTCTTGATACAGATCGCCTCGCTGTATTTCTGTTCATTCCAGGGAAATAACCTCAAAATAGCAGTTCAAGTTTTGCGGTTGTAGACAGGCGCGTTTCCATTCTTACACAATACATTCCTGATAACGTCTTAGATCAGAAACTGACATGGACTGAGTTAATATTTCAAGCCCATAATTATAACTTATCAACTTATGATCGGGTCACACTTGAGTCATATCAACCGCACAATACTATGACGCATTTCCGGTTACCTTTTTATCTTGGCAATTGGCCCGAACTGTCCAAATCTAAAGCCTATCGTAAATAGGCAGAATAATCTATGTTTGATAAGCTATAGCAAAATCTACAGCAGTGTTATCCTTCAAAGGCCAAAATCTGGCATTTGGAACAAAGGGGCAAAGCTGACGAACTCACGCAATCCGCTCTCAACTTTTTCCTGTAATCTACATAATTGACACTGGGTTAACATTTTTTAAACTTTACAGCTAACAAGTTCTCCGGGTTCTCAGCTAAGTTTACATACTATGCATATTTTAGAAATTAAATTGAAATTAAATTAAATTATTGGGGCAGTAATTTGCCCGTCTCGTGTTTCCAGCTGATTGTATCTCCCATATTCAAAATGGCCAATTTGTTAGAGTTTGGACAGGTATGGTTTTATAAGGAACGTGGCTGATCTCCTTGATGAATTTCAGACCATTTGAGGAATCGCTTTGACAAGTCGCAACAGGCTGTTCTACACCAAGTGCCCCAGGTGGAGGTTTTCCTTCCTGAATTTCCAGTTCTATTTAAATTTCTCAGTGTTTGTTTATGAGGTGTACTAGGACTTTCTGCATTTTAACATTTACATCCGACGTGACGTAATAAACCGTGTCCCATTCACATGAACGCATGACATCATTTTCGTGCAGGTGTACCAGACAGTCTTATGTCGCTGTTTCATCTCCTTCGGCTGGTCATGTGGTCCACTTGATCGCTAGCTGCTATCTGTTAAGTGGTTGGAATGACCTTTCAAGGTTTTGAAGCAAGTGCCTACATAGTGCAAGCCACTGTCAAGAAAATAGCGTTTCTTGAGTGATCCCCGTGTTCGTTTGCCAGTGTCGTGCTGATCTACTACTAGCCTTTCTTTGAAACTGGTGAGAATGTGTTTAAATACTTAATGCGAATGAATTTTCAGCTCGTAATGTGTCTTTAAAATATCAATGTATTTCCAGGAATGAAACACCGCGAAAGAAACAGACCAACGAATGAATGAGTAAACAAGAAAGTGAACGTTCAGCCAACCAACCAAACATCCAAGCGAGCTATAGC